TATTATGTACATCCTTTTGATTTGACTGACTCTGTCCTGGTATGTCACATTTGGTTTTACTTTCTCAAAAAAAAAGTAATAAGAACTGTGGGAGTAATAAAACCCAAAATGTGTAATTGTCATTGTACAAGAGAAAGGAAAAGAAAGTGCTCTAAAGGACATAACTGCATAAATATTTAAGTGTATAAGATAGATAACCATATTACTGAGTCTTGTTGGATCATTAAACAAAACTGCTTGCAGTCTCACTGTTTGAAAGTCCCCTCTATATGCTTTAATTTTGTAACTTGAACAACTATTTCTAAGATGACAATATGTAATTAACTAGTGATTTCCTACTGTTTATTCTGTATGACTTGTATCCTTTTTGTGTTTTTTTTTCTTTTTTCTCCTTAAATAAAATTAAAAAAAAAAACCAAACTCAGAAGAAAATAAATAAGGTTCAGAGTTATAATTAATTAAATAGACTAAAAGAACAATACAAAAGATCAACAAAACAAAGAGTTGGTTTTTTAAAAAATAAACAAGATTGATAAACTCTTAGCCAAACTAACCGAAAGAAAAGGTCTAAACCAATACACTTAGAGAGGAAAAACGGATGTTACAAGAAATGCCACTGGAATTCCAAGGATCATTGGGCACTATTTTCTATATTCTAATTGGAGAATCTAGAAAAAAATAGATATAATTTCTAGACAGGATAAAAACATAGTGATAACAAACAATAAGACAAAGCAGTAATAAAAAGTATCCCCAAAAGAAAATCCCAGTACCAAATGGATTCACTGCTAAATTTTACTAGTTCTTTAAAGAATACCAATGCTACTCCAGGCAAGGTAGTGCATGCCTGCATCCCCTGCACTTGGGAGGTTGAGACAGGAGGATCACTATGAGTTTGAGACCAGCTTGGCCTACAACCGCATAGCGAGACACTGTCTCCAAAAAAGAAGCAGAACAACCGCATAGTGAGACACTGTCTCCAAAAAAGAAGCAGAAGAAGAAGCAGAAACAGCAGCAGAAGAAGAGGAAGACAAAGATGAAGACGAAGATGAAGAAGAAGAAGAAGCAGAAGAAGAGGAAGACAAGAAGTAGAAGAAAAAGAAGCAGAAGCAGAAGAAAAAGCAGAAGCAGAAGCAGAAGCAGAAGCAGAAGAAGAAGAAGAAGAAGAAGAAGAAGAAGAAGGGAATCAGTGTTTCTCAAACTAGTCCATGAAACAAAAAGAAAAGGAATGGTTCCAGACTCATTCCATGAAGCTAATATCACCTTGCTAACAAAACAAAACAAAGACTACTGTTTTAGTCACTTTCCGATCACCAGAGCAAAACTACCTGACACCCACAATTTAAAAGAGGAGAGATTTATTTTGGCTCACACTTTCAGAGGGTTCCATCTATGATTAGCTGTTTTCAAGGTAGAAATAGCATAAAGGAAGGAACAGATAAAAGCTGCTCATTCAATGGCAACCAAGAAGCAGAGAGAAAAGGAAAAAGCCACAGACAAAAATACACCTTCCCACATGAAATCCTCAGTGATGTGCCTCTTTTACACAAGCCCCACCTCAGCTATGAACTCATCAATGGATTAACCAACCAGTAGGGTGATGATAGCACTCCAATGCCCAACTGCCTTTTTTTGTTTTGCCTTTTTTTGTTTTGTCTCGCTATGTGGTTCAGGCTGGCCTTGGGGTCACTTTGTAGCCGAGGCTGGTCTCAAACTCACAAGGATCCTCCTGCCTCAGCCTCCCGAGTGCGCCACCATGCCCGGCTCCAATTGCCTTTCAAAAGCCACACCTCTAAACACGAGACTTTTGGAGGTAGTTTTAGACCTAAACCATAATATCAACAAAAAACGAAAACTATATAGATCAACATTCTTGATAAACACAGATGCAAAACACTTAATAAAATACTGGCAAACCAAGTTCAACAATACATCAAAAAAAATCACACACCATAACCAAGTTGGTTTTATTCTAAGGATACAAGGATGGTTCAACGTATGAAAATCAATAAATTTAATACATCATACAAGTAGAATCAAGGATAAAAATAGTCACATGATCATCTGAACTGATAAAGAAAAGGCTTTCAACAAACTTCAATATCCCTTCATAATAAAAGCATTGTATGTATCTCACTATAATAAAAGCTCTGTATGACAAACTCATAGCCAACATCATCCTAAATAGGAAAAACTAAAAGCATTTCTCCTAAAATCAGGAATAAGACAAAGATGCCCACTTGAAGCCTTTCTAGAGCTGACAAATTCATCAAAGTAGCAGCACACAAAATCACATTAAAAAGAAATTAATAGCTTTCTATATACCAAAAATGAACTTGCCAGAAGGAAACCAGAAAAACTACTCAATTCACAATAGCTTCAAAAAGAATCAATCTAACCAAGGAGGTGAAAATTTTCTACAATAAAAATTACAGAACAATGAAGAATGTGAAGAAGACAGTAGAAGATGGAAAGACCTCCATGTTCATAGACTGACAGAATTAGTATTGTTGAAATGACCATTTTACCAAAAGATTCAGTGAAATTTCCATCAAAATTCCAATGATATTCTTCACAGAATAAAAACAATTATCCTAAAACTCGCAAATGGAAATACGAAAGACCCAGTAGCCAAAGCAATCCTCAGCAACAAGAGTGAAACTGGAGGCATCACAACACCTGATTTCACATACAAAGCCACAGTAACAAAAAGTGTGGTATAGTCACAAAAGGGGGCATGTAGACCGATGGAGTAGAACAGAAAACACAGAAACCAACCCAAGCAACTGAAGCTATCTGGTTCTTGACAAAGGAGCCAAAAGCATGTACTGCAGAAAACACAGTCTATTTAATAAAGGGTCCTGAGAAAACTAGGTATTTATATGTAAAAGACTGAAAATAGATTCCTATCTTTCACCTTGTACCAAAATCAACTCAAACATCTCTACCATTAGGAACACGCAGAGCAAAACAACATTGAAACCGGGCATGGTGGTGCATGCCTGTAATCCCAGCACTCGGGAGGCTGAGGCAAGGGGATTGCTGTTTGAGGCCAGCCTCAGTTTTACAGTGAGTTCAAAGTCAGTCCAGACTACATAGAGACCCTGTCACAAAGCAAAACAAAACAAAGCACACCTATATTGAGATTCTAACTCACCCCAGAACAGAATAACTATCATCAAGAATACATTGGCACGGATGGGGCAGGAAAGGAACTCTTCTACATTGCTGGTGGGAATGTAAATTAGTACAGCCACTAGGAAAATAAGCATGGGAATTCATCAAAAATGAAAAAGACAGCTACTGTCAACCTAGTTAGACTATTCCTTGGTATACAGAAGAAACTAACGTCAGTGTACTGCAGGGATATTTGCATACCCATGTTTACAGCAGCACAATCCACAACAGCAAGACATGGAACAGATAGAATGGGATATATAGACAGTGGAGCCCACAGAACAAAATCATGTCATTTGCAGAAAAATAAGTGAAACTGGAAATCATGCTGTTAATCAAAATAAGCCAGACTCAGAAAGACAAGTATCACATGTTTTGCCTAACAGGTGGAATCTATTTAGAAAAAAGTAGATGGCATGAACATAGAAGGGAAACTATTATTAGACAAGAGGAAAGGAATAATAAGAGGAAGGACAAAAAAGGAGAGTAATTTGGGGGTATGATCAAAATATTTCATATGCCTACACAGAAACGCTACATTGAAACCCAGCATTTTATAAAATTAATAGGTAATAATAAAAATACGTTTTTAATAAAATAGAAGGCTAAAGCAGGATTAATATAATCTATGTATATAGCCACACATGCAACCCCTCAAAGTACAAGGCACTCTTTACCATGCACTAAGGGAGCCAGTACAAAACTAAACCAAAAGGTATGGGACTCACCTGTTTCAGTAGTACACTACAGTGGGTTAAAGAGTCAACAGGAAGTTTATGCAGGAGCCACTTCCTGTTCCACCTGAAGATTCAGGTATAAACAAAAGACAGACACTAGACCAGGTGGAGGACAAGTGTCATTGATTTGTTTGCAGAGTGAAGTGTGTGGGAAGTTGGGGGCGGGGTGGTGGGCTCACAAAGCTGAGTGAAAGGGGATAGCAGATGGTTCAAATTCCAGCCAGGATGGTGGCTAGGCAAACCCAGAAAACGGTTAAAGGAGCTAGTATCTGGAAGAACGAGTAGCTTCACTCAGACTGCAGGGACGGAACAAAAACAGACACTGACATTTTTCTATGAGAGAAAAAGACTATCATCTGGTTCAGAGAGAGACAAGTGAATCGTAAGTCTGGACAGTTTTAAAGTCATTGCTATGCAGAATGCAAAAGCTGCTGACTTAGGGAAAACATAACAAAGTGTCAAAATGTAAATGCCATTTTAAGTATCCAAAATTTTATAGAGAAACATAAAAAAAAAGTGTGTCAGAGATGAATATTCAGTGGTAACTATCTTTTATATAAAAATACATTCAAATAGGCTAATTCATAAAATTTAGTAAAATCAATTTTTAACTGAAAAAATTGGGCTGGGGATTTAGCTCAGTGGCATAAAAAAAGGAGAAAAAATTTTAATGCATGAAAAGAACAACCAAGTCTACTCTAATAACTATATTTGATATACATTCATCAAATGTTTGATACTTCTGAAGCATAAGTCCTTTATAAGGACTTTATAAGGACCCTAAGTCGATGAGATATACTTTTTAAATATATCTCTATTTTAAAGCATGCATTGTCTTAGAGAATCACAACTCTGAAACAAAATCAGGAAAAAATTCATATACTTGAAAAAAAGGCCATAGTAATCCAAAGTAAAAAAAATTACAGTTCATGAACATTATTTATGAAAAGACATTATTTAAGGTATTCATACAACGTGAAGTATATACAAGTAAAAAGGTAGTGTTTGCATTCACTTACTTGAAACACACAGGTATATGTATGAAGAAATGTAAAAAGCAAAACCTCCGAAAGCATTTTACTTTACCCTTGTTCCCTTTGGCATTGCTGTTTCATCAACCAATAGGCAAAGAATGTTACACACCACCAAAAGGACTGAGATAGACTACAACACAAAAAAAGCAAAGTGTCAGCTCTCAACTCCAAAGATTTCTTTGGCAATATACAAATACTAAAGTCTAAGTAACAAAGCATGTTTCAGAATAAAAGAAAAGCAGTCAAGATCAAAATTTTACATACAGAGCTAAGTAAATAAACTATATAAAAACTCTAAAGTAAATTCCAAGAAATTATTAAAATTTCAAAGCTTGTGACAAAAGATGGTAAAATAGATCCATTTACTAAGTAGTCTCACCAACTGGAACCCACAACTGCACACACTTCAAAAGTAGTAAAATATTATCAGCATTAACTTCTTAAGGCAGTTTTTATAGCCTTTAAAGCACAGTATCTGCAATACCCTATCTTTCCTAATTTTAAATGGAACAAATCCTGAATTTTATGCTTTTATGAGAAAACAGATCATCTTGAGGACTTTTTCTAATTGCCATTCATTTCCATTTCTTTCTATTGAATTTTTACAAGTAAAAGCATGGATGGATTTTAATTCTGTTGAAAGAAAACTAGTTCACTGGAAATCATTTAGCTAACAGAGCTGCCTTACTCAAATGCTAAAGCAGATAAAAATATAATATGGTTTATTTAATAGGCAAATAAAATCTTACCGTCTCAATAAGAAGTAGAACCATAACAGCAGGATACACCAAATTTCTTTCCCATGCTGAAGCCTTTTTTCGCCTCTCTAATAGAAGGAAAAACAAAATAAAAATTTCAGTAATTTCCAAAAGTTTTCTCCTGATTCATGTTTTCATCCCATTATGCTACAAATATTAATGCAATTTTTTTGAAAAACGAATTACCCATTTTTCTCCATAAATCATGAAAATCAGTTTGTTACATTAACAGGACAATCCTGTGAAGCTTAAATTTCAGCTCTGTAAAGACAATAAAGTTTTTAAGGAAACCTTATTATTGATATGCGGCTTTCTGTGAAAATACAGAAGTAACTGTATTTGGTGAAGATGTACATATGAATGTAGTTACACATCGGAAGGAATCAAGTGACATGAATAAGATATCTAATATCATGTCGCAAGGACGTAAAGGTTGAAAGCAAACCTCCACTTACAGCCACCACAGATTGCCCCATACCACAGCTCGCTACACGCTAAGAACCACTAAGAATGACTTAAGCTTTAAAAAAAGACTTTATTAAGATATCACAGAGCTACCAACACTATAAAAATTAAGGGGTTGTTTTCTACAAAATGGTGGAGTTCAGTCCCCCAGTGTGACACTTTTCCCTGCAAGGTATGTTCTAGTATGTAGCTGGCATAGATCCCAGACTGAGAGATCAAGCAGAAATTGGTAGGTCAAAGGCAAGGGTGCTTTAAAAAAAAAAAAAAAAAAAAAAAAAACATTCAGCAAACATGATAGGGCCAGAGAGACAAATTGGAGTTTGAGGCTACCAAAACAGCCAGAATTCAAGGCGTGATAATCACAGAGAGAAGAAAGAGCAAAGTGGCTTCTTTCCCCCTGAGGCCTCAGCAGCTGAGGCTGGGAAAAGCAGAAACACAACTGAGAAGCTCTGCAAAGCTCATTCAGAATCCAGTTTCTCGAACAGTTATAAACGAGTTCATTAAGAAGCCTGCGCATAACAGCCAGACTTGCCGTTAAGACCAAGGGAAAACCCTACACTAAGATTAATGCCAAACTGGAAATGGACAGAGCAGAAGCCCAAACAGACTAAGCTGCTATGTCCCTGTTCTATGTGCCTAGCAGAAGCCAAACAAACACTGCTAATAAAAAGAAAGTACCATCTTGTGGCTACAATTGCATGTTAGCAAAGTCTAGCATTCAGTCAGGAGGAACCCAAGCAGAGGCCAGACCACTGAGTCCAGGACATGAAACTGCAGTCTGAAGAGTCTAAATCAACTGAAGTTTGCAGCAAAGTACAGAAAGAAGACTGTGGCCCAGAGAATTATCAGGATGGGCAAAAGTCATCCTGGAGCATTCACAGTAATGACCAGCTCAGCCATGTGAGGAAACAAGACATGCCTGAGGAAAGAACACAAAAAAACAGGAGGGAATAGCACTTGACAACCACAAAGGGTCAAGAATGGTGCCTTACCCAGCGAGAGGGAAATGAGGACAACTGTCGCCAGACACAGGCCTGCCCTTTTTAGCCTAAACAGTCCTGAGGTCCAACCCGATAACACTGCTCTTTCCAAGGAAGTGAACTGCACTGTAAAGCAAAGTGCCTCACTTACAGAAATATAAAACATCAGCACCCAACAAGGAAAAACTTACAACTGACCAGCATGCAAAGCAACACAAAATGCAACCAACACTAAGGACGGAAATCAATCAAAACTACTAAGAATTAACACAGGTACTAGAATTACCAGATTAAAATGTTAAAGCATTATCATAACTGTATTCCATTTTTTTTTCAAAAAGATGGAGGGCATAGATTGATATGCTAAGTAGAGGCAGGAAAGTATTCAGGCCGAATAATACTTCTTAGAAATGAAAACTACACTATCTGAAAAAATCACACTCAATGGAATGGAAGCCCCATTACACATGCAAAAAGAGCAGTGGAAATGACAACGATTCTATTCAAAATGAAAGAGAAAGAGACTTTACAATAATCATCCTACCATCCTGGAACTATGGGCTCAAGCTACATGTAACTGAAATCCCCAAGAGTGGCACAGTGGCAAAAGTAAAAAACAGCTGCAAAAGTTAGTGGCCAGGGCCAGAGATATAGCTCAGTGGCATAGCACCTGCCTGGCAAATTCAATTCCCTGTACAAAAACAAAAACAAAAACTCAATAGCCAAATACTGTCCAAATAAGATGAAAAATATAAACTCTCAGATCTAAGAGACTCCATGAAGCAAAGAACAAGAGGCACTCCAATGCATATTATCATCAAATCACCAAACCAATGGTAAAGAGGGTCCTAAAAAGCAGATAGAAACAAGATACACTGAAAGTATGGGAGATTATCTAACAGAAAGAAGCAAGTAAAAACAAATAGGAGAGCGACACCTCTGAATATTACCATCTTTGAAAAGTCATTCTGTATAAACACAAGATTTAAATGTGAATAAACAGTCTCTCCTTAAAACAAAAATAGTCTTTATCAATGAACATTAAGGTCTCATAAACTTTTTAATATTTCAGACTATAGTGAGGTCTTTAATAACAAACACACCAAGAAAAAAAAGTATAGTACCTAGTTTTGTCTTAAGAGTCTTTACATTTTCAAGTTCTTGTTCCAACTCCATCATGTCGTACTCCACTGATGAAGACGTCCCTATTCAATACAAAAATATTTAGAATTAAAACAGAGCCCCTAACCCTACTGAAGAGGTAATCCTCTAATTGAAAAATAAATAACTTTGCACATTCAGATTACTGAGAACAAAATAAGCACTGCCATGGTTCATAGTAAACTATATCCACAACTTTATTTAAAACCATGTCCTTAAGCATTAAAAACTGCTCCAAGAAGATTTTTTAAGTTGGTAAAGTTCTTGATTGATTACAAAAGCATTACACACTTCCTCCACACAGTGAAATGGAATTCACGTCCTCTTCTCCCCCATCTCTTGAAAGAGACAACTGTCACCAGTGTGGCTGATATACTCATGTCCTTCCTCATGTGCAAATTTATGCACACACATGTCTCACGATGTATTTTATAGATGGAATTCAATCGGACATGTTACTTGGCCACTTGTTCTCCGTGCCAGTGATGCCTCCATACTAACAGACGGGCCCAACTCCACAATAGTGAATAACTTCCCATAACCTGATGCGCAAGTTTTACTCAGAAGTATTCCTCTTGTGATTATTCAGATTTTCCTCAATTATCTGGCACTTCAAACAAGGATGCAATAAACATTCTTGTATTTATATCCATTAGTTCCAAAATTCAGACAAGTGAAAGGGTGGAAGCATTTTTAGTTTTAAGAGATATTTAAAGGTTACATTCCCAAAATATTATAATTTACTGTAATAATTTAAATTTCTATTCATAGCTTTTGAAAGTACCTAGTTTTCAGTATTTTCCCTAGCACTGGATAGGGTAACCTAACAATGTTTTCCAATATGATGAGTGAAAAATGTTTTCTGATTGTTACTTTCATATGCATTTCGCTAAATGTGATTGTTTTATATTTATCACATGGAATCTCCTTATTCATATTTTTGCTTGTTTCTCTAATGGTTTTGTATATCGTATCCCATTCAGTTTTATTCATTAAAGTCTGAAACATAAATTGAAACCTCCAATAAAGCTATACTTTGATTATATTTCCTCAGTTTTTAAAAAGGTTTTGTCATTATGAATTTCTTTTGTCTATGCTTTCTCTTTGTTGTTATACCGCTAAGACTCTAACATCTTCCTATGAGTCATATCTTTTATCATATGATATAATGATTCCCTTTATCGCTAATGTTCTACAACTTAAATTCTGCTTTTTGGACTTTAAGTTCTACTTTTCATTTTCATTTGTCTTGTTTGTTTATTTACATACATGCACCTTTCTTTTTACTATTCCTTTTCTTGTCTTTTATCCAGATCAACCTATATTTGAGGTTTAACATCTATCTCATTGGTTATAAGCAAATGAAACTGACTCGATACAAACCAGAAAAGAAATTTGAGCAATATTAGACCAACAGGAAAGCTTACAGGAAGGAAAGCTGAGGAAGCCAGAAAACAAGAACAGTCAGGGCTGCCTGCTGCCCTTGGAACCCAGAAGAAGAGACCCCTAAATGAGTAGCAAGCCTTCTCTGTCTGCTGCTATTCACACATGGTTAGCCTTTCAAACAGTAACAAATCAGTTGGAAGGTTCAGAAATTCCTATTCTTGGGGACCGCAGACCAACAGTTGAGAAAAACTGACTATAAGAAAGAAGCAGGTGTAAACAGTGATCCCTTCTCAAGGGAAAGACTGAAAGAATTCAGTCCAATACAAGAAGTTCAGTAGGACCAGACAGACCCTGCAGCACTAAGGAAACTCAGAAGCCCCTTTCCAAAGCCGCCTTGGGGAATCACAAAACATAGACACATTTCTAGAAATAGAAGTGGCCTTTATCCTTTTGCATCTCTTTTCTCATTTCCCACTGCAAAAAAGAAAGAAACCTAATACCCTCTCTTTTAGAGAACCTGAAGTCTCAAATGCACAGAAATGTTTTACAGTATTTTCAGAGCTCATTAATCATTTTACTTGTTAATATATAATTGATATTTTCAAAAAAGTGGGAGTAAAGATAGTACAGAGATACTCAGGTAATGTGACTCCAAGCTGCTAAACTTGGACTACAAATCTAGTTTTAAATTTCTGGCAACCAAACCAAAAGGAAAAGCAATTGAGTTACAAAATTAATGGACATTTTCATATAATTAGGAGATTCAGATAAAATGATATAGCAATGTAAGATTTCCAAATGTCTCTGAATCAAAGTTTAAACAATACAAAAGTGTTATATTTTACTTTTTAATCCCAATTCTTATAAATTATATAGTGTATATCAGTAATTATCACTCATTTAATACCTACATTTCATTACTTAAAAACCATACACACTTCATTCTCTGTACTCATAAAGTATTATTCTAGTAACCAGTGCCCAAGCTAGAAAAATTAATATGGTGAGTATTTGGGATTTTGAAAGGAAATGGGTATCAGAATAGACAATAGTCCTGATGCCAATTTGAAATTAAGTGAAAAGACATAAATGCTTACTTTGGGGTATGTTTACAAAGCGCAATACAAGTGTTTAGACCATTCAATGTATGACTTTTCAAAAGAAAATACTGAAGTGACATTTCTGAAATGCTTTTATTTCAGGTGACCCAACTCTAGCCACACAATGAGTACTTAGTAGATACTGATTAGCATACAAAAATCAAAACTACACTCCTACTGTCCTGAAGTAAACCATCCTTTTCTTAAATGACTAGATTTTTCTAGAATAATACAGTGTTCAAGGACATTACCATCCTCTGTTACATAGTAATATATTAAATACCTAAGTGAAAATGTAAGCTTTTGTAGTACAGAATGTTTCATTATATAAGTGATCAGAAGGAAAGAGTAGTTTTGAGAAAGTATGACACGCTCCAAACAAATACTTGGATAGTATTTAAGCTGTACCAAAGAAATGAAAATATCATCAAAACTGGGAAACGATTATTTTTACAAATCTAAAATGTTCAATGTCAGCACTGTCTAGTCAATAAGTCAAATTGGTAGACAAAACCTGTTTAGACAAGTCATAAAAAATAAAAAGGGATTCTCCAACAAAACCACAAAGCAGCTCATTTAAGGTCAATTTAACGGTATTATTCTGTTTTTCTTCCAGCCCCGACATAGGATTTCACGACCTCAAAGGAAATTGTAAGAGTATCTATTTGCATTCCCCCAGGTGATTGGCAGTTCAACACCAATTAGTTCGAAATTACACTGTTACTAGCATGCAATAAAAACAATACCTTTCATCTTTCTTACATAGGTAAGAATACCTTCAGAGCCAATAACTTTGATCAAGTAAGTATTTTTGATCCTGCCCCACCCATCTCTTTGGATTCAGGAAAACTAATAGCTGAAGGCAAATTTTCCTAGCTTTATTCTTAAGCTGAAAAACTAATGTGGTATTGAAAATATTTTGCTTCCAAGATAACAATTTCCGAAAGTCCAGCACTTCCTCAATAACTATGCCTTTTCTTCATACAAAAGACAGAAACAATGCATACAACAGCCTTCATATGTTAAAAGACAGACGCTAATTCTTGAATTTAAAATATAAATTGTATTTTTAAAACAAATGCACACTATCAATTAGATATATAAATAATTCAAATAATTTGATGCAATAAAATTATCTCTCTAAACAATTCAATATCTTAATGCAATATCCTAAATTTACTCATAATAAATACTGTATCAGGCCCCTACAAGAAAAATTCTTTTTATATTTAATTTTTTAAGTAAGCATATAACCAAAACAAGTTTGGTTAGAAAATCTTATTTTTATAACTTTTAGAAAAAATGACTTGACCAATGTGATCTCTATCCTCAAGAATGGAAGATCACTCAAGTACTGTTATTTCCAATCACACAGGCAAACAAATTTGTTGTTCTAGCCCAAGAGTCTTAATAACTCTAGATCAAATAGTCTCTTATGCCCCACCAGATGGACCTTGCTATCCCCCAGAAAGCATGTATAAATTGAAACTGCACCCCAAATCTCTGAAGTGTCTATTTTACGGGGGGGGGGGGGAAGCAATGCTGTTGGTACCTACAAAGGAGACAGAAATTCTTTGTATGTCTATTCCATTCATGATGCTAATATTTATTAAAATAATAGTTTCTATTTATTTCTGACACAGCCACAGAAAAATGGCTAATTATGAACCTAGCAATGTAAAACTTCTGACAACACGGGGGCTGGGGATTTAGCTCAGCGGCATAAGCGCCTGCCTTGCAAGCAGGCAGTCGTGAGTTCCATCCCCGGTACCGATAAAAACGAAAAAGACAAAAAAAAAAAAAAAACCTTCTGACAACACAATTACGAAAATGCAAATGTACTTACATTATTAATGACTGCAAGGGAGACAGAAAAATTAAACAGTCAGCTTTAGGAATATTATATTATGCTATGTAAAATTAAAGTAATAGTTTGACTTTTCTCTATTTTAGATATAAGCACAGTAAACTTAAACTTAGTAAGAAGTTAAGATCATTCTTCAACCTTCAGACTTATATACACTATTAGCAACACTACAATTCCTGTCAATTGTGCTTTAAAAACTAGCTCATGAATATTAAATTTATCTTCTTTTAAACAAATGTGAATCATTTTTATACAACTTCTTTAGATGTCACAGAATATGATACTGACTCCCATTCTACTTCATTATTGCAAAACATTCCTCAGCCACTCACATTAGAATAGCTTATAGCTCTCACAAGAACCTCAGTTCAGCTGAGATAAGTAACTTGTTCAGGCCACATTTCATGGTCAAGTAATTAGTGAAGGGCCCAATAAGCTGAATAAATTATAATGAGACGTCTATCACTGCTGTAGCCCCTCATATGCAAATGATTTTTGCTGACGTTTTATCACTATCAGGCTGACTACAGTGGCCCAGGTCTGAAAAGTATGTGATCAGTCTCCTTTCAGTGATGCGAACATACATCATATTCTTATTACAACCACTGCTAGAACCTAGAGGAATGCAGAGAAAGCCAAGTAGTGCAAAGGAGTGTGATAAAATCTGAAGAGAACTTCCTTGTAAGTGTGC